TCAGCCCACTTGTTGCTAAAATTAGGAAAATAATTTATTTAGATAGTCCAAATGAATATCAAATGCAGTGTCATGAAAAATGAAAAGAGAATCTGTTAATAGACAAATCTAAATCCCTTCTGAAAAATTTGCAATAAAATTTATTGTGAGTCAATAGCAGTACGTTTTATAGTCTCAAGATTATTTTTTCCAAAAATTAACAGTTAAATGTAATACTATAAATTATGAGAAGAATCTAAGTTAAAGTTAGTCTGAACTGCCCCTGTTAAATACACATATGCATACCTAGGGTAATAAAAGTAAGTAACATAACTTCCGGTGTGTCAGGCAGTCTCTAAGCTTTATTTTATTGTAAATAATTGTGTACCCATCCAATGATATGGTACTGTTTTCCAGTTTTACAGGCGAGGAAGGGAAAGCATACAGTCAGCACATAGGACTTGACTTGAACCCAGTCAGTTTAAAGAACTTGTCCTCCTTACATCTATAAAAAGGATTTGCAATCAGACAGACACTAACTTAATATCTTACTAGGGTCCTGCTCTTGGTCGTTATTTTATCCATTTCAGGGAGTTACTCAGTTTTCCTGGGTGTATATGTCCTCCCATGTATCTGAGAAGTATAAGTAGTATTAAATTACTGCTCTTTCCTGTTAATCGGTCTTTTTATTACAGAGGGATCTCAGCCAAAAACCTAGAAAGGTGAACGGAACAATATCTTCTTTCCTTTAATAAAAGATTGCCACTGAGCCCCAGAGAAGGCACTCTGCATCCCAGGACTATAGAAGGGTAGGAATGCTAGTGTGAGAGGGTGGTCCCCAGGGAGAGGGGAGGTTCCAGATTCCCTGCCCCTCCCGAGGAAGGGTGGAGCTGAGGGAGGGAGGAGAAGGAAGGAAGCAGAATGGAGAGCGAGGAGACCTGAGGGAGGCACATGGAGCGGAGGGTCATGTGAGGAAGCTGTGCTTGCATCTTGGTCCTGAGCTGGTTGGAACAGTTGTGGGTGAGAGGTTCACCATGGCGGCTTTTATCTTGAGTTTGATTTTTCTCTTTTCATCCCAGTCTTCTCTGACCATTTCTGACCTTTTTCCATGGGTCCCTCCAGAGGTGCTTTAGATTTGTGGCGGGTTTTCAGGCCTTGTTCTGGGCCAATCCTGTTTGGTTGGACTTTTACCGGTGAGGGGATGAATAAATTTGGGTGTCTGATTTAGAAATTATATTCTCTGGCTTTTCTGTATTGTTCACTAGTTGTAGGAAAGCTCCTTTCCATTAAAGGTCTGTATGTTTTTGTCTTGATGTGGTAGATGGCAGGACCAATTTAGAGTAGGCAGGTTTGGGGCTTCTGGAATGCCTCTCCCCTTCCCTGTACCACTAGTACAAATGAGGCAGCCTGAACAAAATTTGAAATTATATGTGAGGTAATATATATGTGTGTGTGTGTGTGTGTGCGCGCGCACACTTATTTGTGTATGTGTATTGACACTAATTCTACCTCATGGTTCTATAATGTGTATTTTTAAGAGTTTCTGTTAGAACCCCACCCTATTCCAATTCCTGTAGCTCTCAATTTCCTAAAACCCTGCTTTTCTAAAACACTGGTGTTATTTTTAAAAAGAAGTCACACCTTGCCAACAGATTAAAATCCTCCCATATCTTCTCATCAGAATCCAAATCACTGGCAGAATCCAAAATTCCTCCCTAATCTCTTATCTTTCTCCTTAGAATGAAGGAAACTTAGAGTCTAAATTCCATGAAACCAGGTCTCAAGTTTCCTACCTGCCTTACACAATACTTGGAGACTGACCATAAAGTACATCCAACATGCAGTTGTTCACTAGTGCTCACCAGGTGATCCAGACTGACGGGCTAAAATTCCATTCCTGGGAGAAGCTGAATCTGTAATTAAGTTAGGTATTAAGAGTCCATTTCATAATCTGGAACTTGGCACAGTGGATTGCTGTCTCGTTTTTTTTGTTTTTTTGTTTTTTTACCACCTGCTGTGCTATCACTACTAAAAATAACAGCGAAGCCACCATTCCTTGCCTGGCAGGTGGGGTTGGGAGGCTTACATGGATCGAGGAAGTGAATGGGGCTTCCCTGGAAAAGTTGGGCCATTAAGTCGATGATGATCCCTTAACCGGTGATCCGGTGATCCGTTCTGCCAATTTGGATCATCAGTCAGTACCCATCTAAGACTAGCCTCCCTCAGCAATCCATGAATATAAATAGAGACCAGGGACCCTCACTGAGGGCAGCAGGCCTCCCCTGCCTTGCCCGCTGCTTGCCTTAGTGGTGTATTTCAAGACGTCTCCCTCTTCTGTTCTCCACTGTCTCTGGTGAATTCTTTCACCCCCCACGTCCTACCTGTCTACATCGAATCTGTCCCATGTCAGTAACTTTGTTCTCTCTTCCTGCCCTGATGCCATATTACCAATGTGACCACTAGATACTCAGTTCTTATCCTCCTGATTTCTTTATCTCTCCAGTCAGTTTCACTTGATCTGGTTCCACCAACTTAATTCTAGTTCAGTGTCAGCTTTTCGAAGCCACTTTTGTCTTCCTGAATGGGCAAAGTCCTTTGGTCTTTGCACTGTCCTATGTCCAGATCTTCAGCTCTCCCTGTTTTTAGCACCATCTTCCAGCTCTTACCATCCTGAGCCCCTAGAGGACATTGACTGTTATCGCAGATTGCTAAACTGAACACACAAAACAGTACTTCAGTGTACTGAATTAACATATTACCTAGTTCATTTGATCCTCCCATGCCCACTCAATTAAGGGGTGTCAGGGACTGACCCCGGTCACGGGTTGTTGGGGGGTAGAACAGGCAGGGTCTTAAGGTAGAAGCTGCGTCGGCAAGCGAAGATTCCAAAAAGGGGGAGAAAAAGGAGCTGTTATGAGGAAGACAGGGAAATGGGAGTTGGGTGCAGGTCTTCCTGCTCTGGTTTCAGCAGAAGTTTATTTTATACATTCCAAGCAAGCAGTGGGATAACATTGAGAGATCACAATCATCTTTTTCCTAAGAATAGTCTGGGGTCATATTGACCTTCAGTTGAAATTATAACATTATTCTTAAAATCAATCTACCAAGGTTAAAACAGGTACATAGATTCATAAAATTTAAGACTAATATTACCATATTTACCACAGTGAAGATTAACCAAAATAAAGTCCCTTAAATCCTAACTACTACTTAATGGCTTTCATTTTCATTGAGATATCCTAGAGGGTAAAGTGAGGGCAGGAAGGAGAACTTTTCTTGTAAATCATTCACAAAAGGAAATACAGTAAAGTTCTTTAAAAACTGAATAGAAAGCTTGAGTAGTTCCTTAGAAACTAAATAGAAGACTTGGTTGAACTTCCTTATTTAAAGACTAGACAGTAAAAAGCTTAAATAGTTCTTTAGAAACTGAATAGAAGGCTTATGTGAGATTGTAGAGTGATGAGATTTGGGTTCTTGTCCATCCAGGTAGTAAAAGAATATGTTCTAGTACTGCCTCATATTACAATATTGATTTTGCTATAGTAGCCAATTGCTGTTATTAATGAGCCCAAAGTAAATTTATTTGACTTCAAGAGGAATTTCTCCCCCTGGTGCAGCACTTACTTATCTGGGCCAGGCAGTGCCTTACAAGGCTAAGACAATCAGTAACAGGGTGGTCCCTAGGAAAAGGGGAAGTTCCAGGTTCCCTGCCCAACCCAAAAGGAGAGTGGAGCTGAGCAGAGAAAAAAGGAGAGAAGAAGAAGGAGACCTGAGAAAGCCACATGGAGCAGCAAGCATGTGAGGAAGAAACTGGGCTTGTTTCCTGACCCTGGACTGGTTAAGGCAGATGTTGGTGAGATACCTGTAGAGAGGTGACTATGGCAGTGTTTATATTGATTTTGATTTTGCTCTTTTCCTCCCAGACTTGCTGGCCATTTCTGACCCTTTTCCATGGGTCCCAGCCAGAAGGTGCTTTAGTCTTGTGGCAGCTTTCAGGCCTTGCTTTGGGCCAATCCCTTTTGGGTTGACTTTTGCCCACGAGGGGATGGGTAGCTTTAGGTGTTTGATTTAGAAGTTATATTGTTTGTGTTCCGTATTGTATATTTACACTATTAAAGTCCCTTTTCATTAAAGTTTTATATGTTTTGTCTTGTTGCGACGGATGGCAGAACCCACTTAGAGCAGGCAGGTTTGGGGCTTCAGGGGTGCCCCTCTCTCCCTGTCCTGTAACAAATCCAGTTGTAAACTGAAGGTTGCGCAGAATATTTTGATATTATGATTATACAAAAAAGGGAGGTCATAACATAAGTTAGCATGGAAATTCTGATTTTTCAGAGCATTTCCCCTCCATCCATACCGTGTCTGGCGACAGAAGTTGCATAGCTTGTGTAAAAGGCAGGAACTACAGGTCTTCTGGGAGAGTTTTGTAACTTTGTCTTACAACTAGTGAGAAACTAGCTTAGTTGAAAATCTGAAATGGAGACCTGCATTCTTTGACTATTCATTCTTTGCCTTCTCTCTCCCACTCCCACTTGGATTTCCTATGACTAGACACACACACACCCTTACTCACACTCCTACACACATGCTCCTGCATGCCACAACTGTGAAAGGATTCTAATCAAGTTATAATATTAACCAGACACTCTAACCACAGAGTGCTGATATGACTCTAAAAAATGCTTTCAAGAAGCATTTTGTAAGACATTTATAGATTTAAGAGATATATTTTATTTAACCACTAAAATTTTTGTGAAAATTCAGATTGCCATTTCTAGAAATTCTAGCATTTCTGTTGGAAACATCCCCCAGCTCTAAAGCAACTCTGATTCGCCTCCTAAAAATCTGTTGCAATAGATGCTGTGTCACTGCAAGCCACTGAAGAGACAGGGTTAAGAGCACAAATGAGTGGTGAACCATATATGGGAAAACCTGTTTCTTCAGATTGTGATGAATTCATGTTCTGCTTTCTGTTTTGCCCCAAGTAGAGTGAAGTGTGCTGGGAGAAGCAGATTCTCAGAACGCAGTGCTCTGGATTCTAGCCTCCGGGTTCCTTGCCAAACATGCATGTCACACTTGTGTCGATATCCTTGGTGATTTTTTTAGCCTCCAGTCATGCATACAAAAAAAATACTTTGCCAGATATTGAAAATGAAGATTTTATCAAAGACTGTGTTCGAATGCATAACAAGTTCCGATCAGAGGTGAATCCAATAGCCAGTGATATGCTGTACATGGTAAGGCAAATATTGTTATCTGGGGTGTAAGTCAGTCAAAACCGTTATAACATAATTTGATTTTGGAAACAAACACTTAATAATGTTGAATGCCTTTTTCATTGTGATTAATGTGTGTAACAAATTCACAGTCTGTGATCAAAATATACCTGATTTAGCTTTGTCTACTCAAGCAGCAAGCTTAAAAGTGTATTTTCATTTTTGGACAAATCCTTTTTTCTGATCATAGATACATTTATTTGTGTGTTATTTTCTTCCCTGTTAATCTTTGTGATGTTTTCATTTGTTTTATCTCTTAAATTTCCCTTTTCTGTGTGACTGGCAGAATACTGACTCTCAGGGACACACCCTGTTATCCAAGCTAACTCAGTCTTGAGTTTGGATCTCAGCTCTGTGGCCCTGGTTTTTTTGTTGTTGTTGTTTGCTCATTTTTAAAGATTTATTAATTTATGCACAAAGAACTAGGGTACAGGCCAGAGGTGCAGGGGTGGTGAGAGGCTTCACCAGAGACAGAGCCGGGAGCAGAACAGGCAGATTGAGGAAATACACTGCTGAGGGGAGCAGCGGGCAGGTCAGGAGAGGTCTGCCGCGCCACCTCCCTGGCTGGGGATCAAACTTGCACTGAAGTGGCTGCAGCCAGCTTTGGAATGCTGAGCTTTAACCCATTCTGCTACCAGGGAGAGCCCTGAGTTGGTTTTTACCCTTACCAATCTTAGAATATGGAATACTGTGGTTATTAACTTACAAAAATATGAAAAAAGCTCACAAGACTTTTACACTCCAGGCCTTCAGTGAAAGTAAATGCTGCATCCTTCACCTGCTTCTACATTCTAAAAAACAAAATTGTCATGTGTCTTACCAACCCTAGTCCGTACTTAAAGGCCAAGCTTACATGGAGGTGACACCTGAGCTCTGTGGTTTCTCCTCTAATCTTGTCATCGTATCTGGTCTCCCACTTAAAACTGTCAGTTCTCTCACCCCACCTACATTGTTGGGTAGAAGCTTCTGTTCTTCTGTTAGAATTTTTTTTTTAAAGATTTATTTATGCATACAGATCTGGAACTGGGGTATAGGCAAGAGGTGCAAGGGCTAGTGAGAGGATTCACCAGAGACAGAGTAGGGAGCAGAACAGGCAGATCGACAAAGTACACTGCTGAGGGGAGCAGTGGGCTGATCAAGAAAGGTCTGTCGCACCAAATGGGTCACCTCCCTGGCCATGTATGGAACTTGCACTAAAATAACTGTGACTAGCTTCATAATGCTGTGCTTTAACCCTTTGTGCAGTGAGGGAGGGCCAGTAGGTTCTATTCTTGATTCTCTTATTGTTTAATGTTTATTTTTGCAGACTTGGGATCCAACTTTAGCCCAAATTGCAAAAACATGGGCAAAAAAATGTCACTTCAAGCATAATCCACAATTATCCAAGAAGTTACACCAAAATTTCACTTCACTGGGAGAAAACATCTGGACTGGGTCTTTGTCATTGTTTTCTGTGTCATCAGCCATCACATCCTGGTACAATGAAGTTAAAGACTATAACTTCAAGGGTAACAAATGCAGCCATGTCTGTGGTCATTACACTCAGGTAAGTATTTGCTCTATACTTAAAGATTTTTTTACGTAAAGATTTTTTTTT